ACTAATATTTAATAATATATAATAATCGTAGAATATAATAATATTTTTGTTTATTTTTATTAAACAATTAGATAATTCTATCTTACAGATACTATAATACAGATAATATATCTGCAAGAAGAAAGAATACATTTTTTTGTCTGAAGTTTCGTTTGCGAGAAAGTCGACATTAAATATTTCTTAAGTATCTGAATTAAATTAATTTGGGGCTGAACACAAATAAATAATCAAAAGATTATTCTATATGCAAAAATAAATAAAAAATGTAGAATATAATTTTTCTATAAGACGTTTTCGTTTCCGAGAAAATTAAATTTGAATATTTATCAAGTACAAGTATACTGAATCAGTTTTCGACAAAATATATTCAAAATCTATTTTTTTTTTTTTTCCGAAAATAAAGCCTTAAATGAAAATATTCTATTCTATATTTTTTATTTATTTATTTATCAAGTAAACTTGACAAATTTCAAAATTCCATTTTTTAGGAAACGGAGACTTTAATGAAAAAATTTTATTGTTCCTTTTCGATTTATTTTTACATCTAGAATCAATTAATTGTCTACGAGTTGCAGGGCATCCTGTACATATATTTTCTTATGTACATAGCACGTACATTATACGTATACATAGCACAAAATATTATTAATTTTCATTTTTTTTAAATATCAAACAATTGATCACTTGATTTGACAATATATTTATGTACAGAAAATAATAAATATAACCAGAAAAAGAGTGATTCTACGAGAAAAATAAAAAAAATTAAAAAATATATGAAATTATTTCTGTTGACACCTTCGTTTTGAAGAAGATCAATTTTCATTATATTTTTTATTTTTTTCTTCTGTTTTTGATAGTACTATATTTTGATTGTACTGTATTTCTGTCTTACTTTACGTACTTACATTTGTGAATGGTCCTGCAAATCTCCACAACCCACCAAATCCACAACTTTGTAAATAATGTAACTGTTGTTGGCTTGCATCCTCACATGCAATCATGTTTTGTATGATTGCTTGTACAGAATTCAATATTTCTTGGTCATGGCAAAAAGATAATACACTATTTATTTTTGCATCGAGTAAATTATGGCTATAAAAAAATTTAAATCTGTTAAAGTTATATTATACATTTATATATATATCTATAATATTAAATGTTTCAGTAAGTGTATTTTAAATATATTGTAGCGTTATTTTAAATATATTCTTTCTTATATATATTTTTAAATATATAATTATTATTTTTGCATACGAAATAACTTTAGATAGTGTATTACACTATAGTACATATAATTATCATATATCTGGATGTTGGAAACATTTAAAAAACTTGAAAATTTTTAAAGATATTAAGATATTAAAGATATAAAAATATTAAAGAGAAAACATTTTAATTGTAATTTTTAACGCATGAAAAATGAAGAATATTTTATTTAAAAGATACTTCAAACTTTTGATTTTATTTAAAAGATACTTCAAACTTTTGACAAAATATATCCTATTTTTGTCAAATCATCACGAACGAACATGTTTTCAGGTAACTTATCGAAAATTTATTACTTAAAATAGAACTTTTAAAAATATTAAAACTAAATTTTAAATTCATAAACTGCATGCGCTATTTATTATCACATAAACATTAAAAATTTTAGTTTCTTCTATAATGCGCATTTAAAAACAATATCGTAAAAAATAACAGAATCTTTATTTGTGTATATCTTTAAACTTATATATACAGAGACAAAAAGTAAAATATTTAATTAAAAACATCAATTTTATTTTTTCAAGTTGTCCATGTATACATCAGTCATTTATGCTTTCCAAATACGTTTAAATTTGCTATATATTCTATAAATATTTTTTATTAATAATTTTTTAATAAAAAGCGACGACTAAAATCTCCTGAATATTACTTAACAGAGTATTTTTGACAATATATGTAAAAGTTAGCTGCCTCCCCTAAATTTAAGATTTATCAATAATTTTTCCATAGACATGATTTTTTTATATTATTTCTTATTATCTATCTTTATTTCAATATATGAGTGTTCCAGCGTCGGTGATATATGTGAAGTGGA